AATGAATATAATATTTATTATAGTATCCTAGCAATTTGTATCGACCTGTGCCAACTACAACAGTATTAATAGTCTACAACACCAGTATTATTAGTCGTAATTGGTCAATTAATCAATCAAAGAACAAAAAAAAAAAAAAAAAATTAATAATATTGAAAAGGTACTTTAATTTTCTATTAGTCAACTCCTCTGAATCGTCTCAATAATTAACAATAATTAGGTAATTAAAATGGTTAAAAACATGATAATTATCACTCATCGGTAATGCCATATCAGAACATGTCCCCCATGTCTTTTGTCATTCTCGATTGATCTATATTAGCTATTATGTATAATCAGTAATTAGAATGTTCATCACTCAATTACAGTTGCCAATAGCTATTTATAAAATCACATTGTACATTTTTTTTCTTTTTCGTCAATTGTGAATAGGGTATATGCAGTTCGAGTTTGGCAATGTTTGTTGCTTGGCTCTTATTCAATGTGCTTACCAGTTTGCACTTTGTTTCTATGCTCTGACACACACGCAGCATAGGAAAGGATACACACAGACAATCGCATACAGACACATACTTACACGCATACATGTACATATCTATATATATTCACATCCTGTCGAGTGTGCGTGCGTCGGTTCGTTAGTTCGCTCGCTCCTTCGTACGCTTCCATTGCTGCTGCTACTGCTGCTGCTGCTGCTGCTGTTGCCTGGTTTGCATATATCCCGAGCATATATTCCCGTTCATACAGCCGACAATTGCCACCACCGAATCGACTGCAGCCAACAGGCGCGTCTCTCACCTCACAGCCAAAGCAACAGCAGGAGCAGCAGCAGCAGCAACGACGGCAGCAGCAGCAGCAGCAGCAGCGCAGCAGGCTGAATCTACACCCCCAACCCACCCGATGTCAACGGCCCCGTTAGGTTTGATGCGGGACACGACCAAACGAACGACCGAAAGACCGAAGAGCCTCACGAACGAACGACGACGAGCGAACGAAATTTCTCGCATTGAGACGAGAAACAACCAGAATAATCGACATCGACCCACTGCACTGTGGGCTGAGCTCTGTGCGTCCAACTTCTGCCCAATCGCCAGCTTTTTGCATTTTCAGTACATATATTCAACAGATTATTGTGCTGCCCGCAGTATACAGTGCCTCGAATTCCATTTTATTGTGGACAAAATCTATATAATTAATGTTGCTCTACTTTATATGATCAAACAAAATTTACAATTTAAATTATAGCTTTTCAAATTTAAGATATTTATCTTAACAAAAATTATAAAATATAATAAATATTTAAATTTTTATTTTGATAACAAAAGAGTTCTTTACAGATCTACAAAGATTTTATACACTTGTGGCCAAAATAATGTATCCTGTGTACGTTTATTAGCAAATATTTTAATTTAAGCTTATAATTTTATTTGGAATTTAAAAAACAATAAATTTAAGTTTTTAAATAATTTGTTTTTTATTTAATATAATTTTTTTGCTGCAAATTACACTTGTAATATTTGTATAA